ATACCAGAAATCCTACAGAGACTCTAAATTTACACACACACACCTTATCTCCCCAGTTAAATTATAAATGGCTTGAAGAGCAGGAACTTTGTCATAAATTTCTCTGCATCCTAACACTATCTGAGGCAAATGAGATACTCAAAAAATATGTGACTGACCAAGGCTGGGCAGTGCCAATACAAAGCAATGCAAAGTGCAAACTTGATTTTGTAATATGAGTATATACTAGGTAAGAAATCCGGTTTGGGAGCTTCTTACTCTGTCATCACTCCCCCTCTCCCCAATACTACACAGTAGTGGAAAATTCCTAGAGGAATTGCCTTTGCTTTAAACAAACAGAAGACTTTCACCCAGTTTCTTCTTTATGATCTAAAGAAGAGTATAGAAAATATATTTCTGCAACCAGGCCCAGGATGAGGTTCTTTGGTTTCAGTTTAGCCTCCTTAGTAGAAAAGCATTGGTTTCTTACTAAGTGGCATGTCTGGAATCCAGATCTTTCTTTCTCATTCCAAGCCCAAACCCCTAAGAGAGGCCACTATCACCTTGCAAACAGACCACTGCAGTCAGCTTCCCAGAGCCTTCACCCACGATATCACACCTCCAAGTCAGCATCACCTAAAATGTATTTTCCTGGCCATCTGCCAAAAGGACTTTTGTTTTCCTTATAAAAGGTAAAAATGTTCCCACTGAGCATGGGGAGCCTCAGTCACTCATCAGTTTTCAAACATACATTATCTTTCTCCATCCCATACTTACTCTCTTTAGCTGGATCAAACGAAATTTCTCCTTCTCAACTTTTCCCTTCGTTCCCACATGGTTATTTATATCTAGAATATCTTTCTTTCTTAATCCAAGACTACCCCCCCCACTCCATTTTAAAAGGTCACTTTCAAGTTATTCTTTCCAGAAAGCTTTCTTGAAGTCCACGGTTACATGCTGATTTCCCTCCTCCCCCGGCCCTCCCACCCCGTGTTCCTTTGCTCTATAAAATACGATGAGGAGCAAGGTAATTTACTCATCTCCTGATAATGCCACCAATCTGGTAACTAGATCAAAGGGGGGCGGGGGGGCGACACTAAAATAAGCATCCAAAAACTAGGCGCACACACTTTCAGGCAAAAGCACCATTACTTTCTTCACACATATTTATGTATTCATTACAAAAGTGATTACACTCAGAACATTTAGAAATCAGAAACCCACCACCAGAGACACCACTACCCTAACATAACAATAAGCAATCTGGGGTATTTACTTCAATCTTTCCTCCTATATACCAGCTTAAACGGTGTTGTAATCACAGTATCTGTATAATTTGGGATCTTGCTATTTTGTACACAATATCTAAAGTCTAGTTCTATGTTCCAGCAAAGGTCATTAACTCCCCCTGTAATAGCTGTGCAACAGGATTCTGAGTACTGTAATTTACTTAACCATTCCATGATGAACATTTAGAGCATTTCCAATGTCTTTCTATTACATAAAGCTTTAAAGAATAGCTTCATGAAGGGAAGGTAAAATGAGGCAAGCATCATTATAGTTTTGTTCTGACATATATTTAATCTGCACTGATGACTATTCAGAAAATATCCTCACTTCTAAACTGACACTAATTTTCTTTCCATTCTTAAATCAAGTCCCCTTTTAAGGTCACTGGATTTTTGTAAAGTTTGTCTTTCTTAATTTCTATTATCTATTTAATAAATCTATTTAATTCTCATAGCAACCTTTTAATTTTTCATAAACAACTTGCCTACGTGAACCTACAACCAAATGAATTTCTAAGTCGTCTCAGTTGCCTCACACAGGAAAGAATAAGGAGTGTTCAGAGGGAAGGGGAAGGGTTGTGTGTGAGACTAGGTAAGATGACTTTTTGGTGTCATATCTGTACATTTTCCTCAAAGCAACAGATGCAGTCCAAAGATGTAGAGGAGTTTTTCTAAGTGGAAGAAATCTTGAATACCTCTTAGGAGCTCACAATCTGAAACAATATGGCCAAATAAAATGAAGATCCTTCTATAATGAAAATTATAGTTATAGTCCCTTTATCTATTTCATAAATTTGGATTTGGAGATGATGGGTTTTCTAAAAACGCAGTACGCTTTAGTAGATAAAAACCTGTATTAAATACGAGTCTCCTAATACTAGTCACCACAAAAGGCACAACACAATACAAGTGCCTGGCATGGGGAAGTCTTTTGTCCCTGTATAAATCCGCATGCTCTTGGAAGACTGACAGTCTTCGAGAATGAACCTCTTAATTTATCCAAATGGCAGGGCACAGCAGTGGGAACTTCACAGACACTGTCTTCTCATTGCTTTGTGTTAGTCCTAGAGGGGGCCCCTGTGGGAGAGCAGAGAAAATTGCCTTCAGAGGTCTCTTTAGCCCACCATATTCAGTCAGCATGTCAAGCTAAGCCATTTTCCTTCTAAGGATAGTGGTGTTTCGGGGGATTCTGTTCCGTGCCTCTGTGTTGGGTTCATTACCAAGGGAGACATGATACAAAGTAACCACAGAACTATGAATGACATTTCTAGTCTTTACCCACCTGAGACAGAAAAAGCAGCATCTGTTACGGGCAGCCAAGAATATGAGTAAGATCTATTTAAGAGGCTTGGTTAAAAAGAAAATAAAAAGTATGCATGTGTCAGGGTCACACATGTGCTTGTACGTGAACAATGCACAAAATACCTTTGAAGTGACACACAAGAAACTGATGATGGTGGCTGCTTCAGGGGAGGCAAACTAAAGTCAGTGGTAGGAGTGAGATGTACTTTTTCCTTCGTGCCTTTCATTTTATCTGAAAATTTTCTTTAACATGTGAAGGCAATATCCTTTCAGAAAGTAAAAATTAACTGCGAATGCTAAATCTATTTGTGTAAAAAATACTTAAGCATAGGTATTTATTTATGCTGTATGTGACTTTTTTTTTCCTGGAAGAATATACAAGACACTATTAACAGAGGTTATCTTTGGAAAGATGATTATTTTACAATGAAAAAATGAAATGCTGGCTTTCTCTTGCAAATAAAAAAAAGTGGAAAAATAGTATTCAAGTATATGCTGAGTAAATGGATGTATATGACTTTTTAATATAAACGACAGTAAAACCATAATTTGTACTGGCCATGCACACAAATTCCACTCTCCTTGAAGCAAACCATGTTTTTGTTCCAGGGATCTGGACTTGCCTGGTAACTACTACCTCTATCAACTGAAGAAGAGACTCACATGATCTCAGGAAAAAAAGTGATTAACTGAGCCTTCACAGGAAAGCAGTGCTTCAAAAAGCACTTGAAACAAGAGTGTTTTACCACAGTCCCTGCAAATTAATACTTTCCACAAATCCAAATGAAAGAGAATATGCTCAAGTGATATTAAGTGTTATTTCACTCTCAAGAACATTTGTAAAAGCTTAAACTAATGTATCCGAGGGTTGAAGCCAGCAACCTTCTGCAAATTTAAGAAAGTGACTCCCCCCAGGAAAGTGTTTTAAGGCATTTAATTCCAATTCATCTTTATGCCTAACATGTGAAATGTCAGGATTCTTAGGCACCAAAGAGCAAAGCACGTAACAGATTCATGTGTAATCTTAGATGGGCAAAAATATACCCGGGTAAGAAAACAAATTCATTTTAAAATAAGTTTAATTGTTCAGAATAAATGGACTAATTTGTCCTAAAAAGTCAAATATTAAGAAAAACAAATCTATCTGCACAAGGACACTGGGTTGCTTTGTAACGAGTTACTGTCTCTTGCTAATTTTGAAACAAAATGCCACACTTAATTAGCCAGCCCAATTCTCCTCCTGCCTGCCTAATGGGGAGAAATGGCATTAAGGAAAAGACTCCCTCAGGCTCTGTTAGTGCCCTAATGAGATGTTGGGGGAAGGGGGGTGCTGGGATGGGGACAAGGCAGCCACTATTGCCACACAGCCTTTAGAAAGTACAGGATCTGGACCTCCTGGACAAATGGAGTGCTCTCAACTACACACTGACTGTCAGGGGTGTCTGGCCACAGCTATTAATACAGGGTACTCTGTGGAAAACAAATGTACACTCCACACATGCCCAGGTGGTCTAGCAACTCTTCCTATAAGGTATGAAGTACATCCACAGGGGAGAAAATGTGTCCATAATATCACCTATTGTCAGTGATTTCATCACCAGCAACCAACAGATGGAAGGAGTATCAATTTTCAAAAGGGCAAAAAGAGGGAGATTCTGCAAACTACAGATTGGTGAAGTTGACATTAACTCTTAAGTGAGACCCTGCAGCTTATTACAGTTATTAAACACACACTTAGGAAAAGACTAATTTAAAAGCAAGCATGGGTTCATCAAACAAGTCATTTCAAACTTCCCTTGAAAGGGAAACAACAAATATCTAAGTTTTAGCAAGCTCTCTGTTAAGGTCCCCTATGACAATGTTAACCAGAGGGAGAAATGTGGGCTGAATAAATAATACAATTAGGCAGATTTAGAATTGGCTGGATTTGAACTGACTTATAGGCCACTATTAGCCTGGAGGAGGTCTCTAGTGGTATGCCTTAGGGCTCTATCCCCAGAATAAGTCGAGGTCTGGAAGGGATCACATAATTCAAAGCTCAGAAGGGGCTGTGATCATTGTGGATGACCATACTGGCATACAAAAAGATTTCAACAGATTGTAAAAACTGATCAGACCTAAATAAACTGATTCTTTTATTTTTTCAATTAGTTGACATCCAATATTATTTTGTATGTTTCAGGTGTACAGCATAGTGGTTAGACATTTATATAATTAATTAAATCGATTCTTAAAGATGATAGATAAAATTTGGGACTATTTTCATTTGTTTAGGTATAAGATTAGTGAAACAGACTTTGGTGTTTTGGGTGACAAAAAGGTCAGTGAGTCAATGTGGTATGATAGAACTGTCAGAAAAGATAATGTAATCTCAAGCTATGATAACAGAAGTCTAGATCATATCTAAAACAAAGGAGGTGATAAGCTTACCCTCTGTGCTTGAGGCAGATGACACTGGAGTCTGTGTTCAAGTTTCAGGACTACTCTTTGAGAGGTCCCAGACAAAGCTAAAGAAGGCTCAGGTATGGATGGCCAGGAGGGTGAGGAAACTTGAACCAATACCATATGAGAAATGGTCAAAAGACCAAGGAAATCTCATTTGGGAGAGAGAAGAGTTGTCTCTGGTTCTTTGAAGGCTGGTCAAGCCCCTGGGAAAGGATGACTGATGTCAGAAAGGCCTTCTCAGGAGATGGTACGTTGTAGTCATTAGAAATACTCCAACAGAGGCTGGATGACCCCTTGCTGGCCATGCTCATGGGGTCAGCATAGATTACTCTAGTGGGCATCTATAGTTCTGCTTTGCCCAGCATTCTTGTCCCTTCTCTCTGGTAACACACCCTCATTTTCCTTGGTGAGTCCCCCGTCCTCCTGATGTTCGGTCCACCTGGTTTGTGATCCCACCTGTGGCGACACAGGTGTGGATATGAGTCAGGTTTGGCCAATCAGAGTATTACGCACTCTGGCCATGGTGACAGGTTCTGGGATGGGAGCATGACCAAGCTCACCTCCTTCTGTGGGGGTTCTGAGAGGACAGGAAGCAAGCCTAGAGCTGCTCATGGCCTTCACATCACTACAAGGAACAGCCTGCCAGAGGTCGGGGCCTACACTGAAACAAGCAGAGAACAGAGATAGAAAAGGGCAACCTGTCCTGAGGACAGCAGTTGAGCCACCCACCCCTATAAGGTGACCTACATCTGGGCCTCTCAGTTATAGGAGGCTAGGACACTTTCAAACCTAGGAGTCAAAATTCTACAGACCTAGAATAGGAGAAAATATGGGTAAGAAAAGGTTGGGAATGTAGCAAGGAGGTAGACCTAGAGAAGGAAAAAGTGTAAACGAAGGGGAATAACAAATAAATGGTGAAACTATAGGTTAAAGGAGACCTTAGAGAAATAGTTACCAAATCCAATGTATAGGCTTTATTTGGATTCAAGCAAACTAACTTAAATAAAATTATGAGACAATCGGTGAAATCTGAATACTGACTGGATATTTGTCAGTACTAAGGAATTACTGGATTTTTTTAGGTATAATATGATACTGTGGTTATGTTTTGTTTTTCTTAAAAGAGTTACTTAGTGAAATGTCTATTAAAGAAACAAATATGATGTCCAGGAGTGGCTACAAGGTAATCCAGTAAGCGGTAGGAGGTGGGTGTCCATGAGGTGATGATCATTGTGTATCTGGGTGCTGGGTACATAAGGGTTCACTATGCTGTTTTCCCTATCTGTGTGATATTTGAAGTTTTCCATAATGAAAGTTAAAATAAATGGTAGGAGAAATATGCACAAACCAGTATCTCCCCCTTACTCTCTCCCAGCTCAAAAGTAAAAATAGAAGTAGAAAAAGTAAAACTGAGCACCCAGTAAGTGAAAGAGCTAGTCTAAAATTATGCCCATATTCGAAGACCTGGGTATATCCTCAAACCAACAACTGACAAGTAATGATTGCTCTCCTAGTAAGAAACTGAATAGAAACCAGCTTATGTGATAGGCCACTAGATACAAAGAACCAGGTGCTGAGGGCAGTGGAGGATACAAAGAAAGAAAACAAAAAAAAGCAGAAAATTCTTCTCTCCTGTAATCGGAATACCCATAAAATATGGAATGAAATCCAAGTGCCTGTAGTAAATATTTAAACGACACTTTCTAGGCAACAGGCATCGATCTAAACACGTTTAGAATATTAACCCTTAACAACAATCCAGTAAGGTAGGTACTATCGTTTGCATTTTACTGACCAGGAACTAGAGATATTGATCAGGTAACCTGCACCAAAGCCGCACTGCTAGCAAGTGACAGAGACAGGATTCAAACACAAGAAACACAGGTCCAGAGCCCATATAGTCTTTTCTACTCACTATGCAACAGATTTTAAACATTCACTTAAAATAACGGAGTAATTTTGTAGGCCCGTGGATATTAATGCCTTAAGTTGCAGTCAAGCACGTGCCCAAAGCTGCCCTCACATCTACATTCACTGCCATTCAGAGCTCAGAGGGTAAAATTGTGATTTTCCTCTATCGCACGTTGTTCTGCCCAATCTTTATATTTCACATCAAACCCTAAAAAATGAGTAACAGATGAGGCAGCTGTGCTATGAGCCACCACAATCAAACGTAAACTGTCCTGACCTGATCTTGTTTAAGGGGGAAAAAAAGACGTCTTCTGATTTTAAACAGGCTAAATCCATTCAGATTTTTATCCTAGGGATATTGACCAAAAAAGACAAATAAAAAACTATAAAACCGTTTCATCTGGATAAAATTCTCCCAGGAAAACAAAGAAGGAACTCCTACCCCTTGAACAGCAAAACTCACCACACCCTATTTTATGACTATTCAACAATGACCCGAGATAAAAGTATAATTAAATGTAGAAATGTTACTTGAGTTTACCTGTAATTGGTGTCTGTCTACATTGAAATAATCCAATGGGGAGTAGGTGATACGTGATAGAAAGGAATGCTAAACTTTAGGCTTCTATTGCTTTTTGAAAAGGATTTTCTGAAGA